ATAGCTTCCCCTCAATAAAGTCGAAATCGGCGGAGAAATATATTTCCAACCAATTCTAAACGTTCAAACATGTAAAAAAAACAGTTCAACAATTAAAATTGATATTGAATTACTGTTACTTTTTGTAAAAAAAAAAGTTAAGTACTGGTGAAATTAATTCGATTGGAATAAACTACTCGTCTCGGTAAGCATTGTATTATAACTTTTAAATTTAATTTKCATCCTGTAACAATCGCTGAGTTCCTTCAGTAATGTATAGACTATAGACTATATTCTTTTAAACAATAATTGGAAGTCAGTGAGAAATTCATTATAAAAATAATTAATCTCAAACCTATTCTGCGAATTTTTTTGATTTTTTAAATGTTGTTTATTGAAGTATTATAACACTTATAAGTGTCTGTTGTCGGAAAAATTCAAAACTCGTGTAATGATATATCAATGTAGATTTATAATTTCATAAATCGGGTTTTCGCAATGCTCATGTGGGATATATCGGTTACATTGAAATAATGATCGTTGATTTATGAACAAATTATRTTGATCAAACTTTGTAGAATAGAATAAAATTCACATAAAGACGCATAAACTGTGTACCGCCGCCAATGACGATGGAAATAAAATACATCTTTCTATACATAAATTTACTTTATTATGCATTATAAATTATTATGGTGGTAAGTCGATTGATGATAATAATAATTTTCGGATTAATAGATTTGGCTCCCTTTATTAATTTACTTTAAAAATGTTAAAAGACTAAAAATATATTTATTTAAAAAACACTGTTTGCAGCCACGTTGTCTTGGATTCGAAGTTATGAAACTTCGAGATTTTAATAGATAATAAAAGAACAAAATAAAGRATCGCTTTYCGGAATGTGGACGAGAGAAATACTGCCTTTATATATTATATTGCCCTCTCACTCCAGCAAGAGGATTTATCATTAATGATCGTGTGGGAACTGCAGGAAGGAAGTAAAGACTGCAGCTTATTGTGTTTTCTCCCACTGGAATTTTATTATATTAATAGTGATTTTACAAAATATATTTTTATGAGTCCCAAAGGGAAGACATTTCTATATATTATTAAACAGTATAATTACTAAGAATTCCTGAAATTTTTTGCTGATAATTTTAAAAATTAAATACAGTTACTATAACGCCGAGTTGTATAATATGTAAAATTAATTAATTGAACGGTTTTCTAAATTTAAATGCATCAAATATTGCMCATTAAACCAAATCATCAAATCAAAAAGTAATTGTATAATACCTATGTGAGCATACTTAACATTGGTAATATCAAACCATTAAAAATAATATTGGTATACAGTTTTGATTTTTTACGTTATWKTTGTAGTTAAATACACAATTGGCTTATGGCAAGTAATTACGAACGTTAAATTTTAATATGATTATTTTTAAATAAAAGTTAATTTCGATAATCTTTTTCATTAAAACATTTATTGCATTCATTAAAGGGTAAAAAATAATACGAATCATATTTCCTATATACTCCTGTATAAAAGTTTAGTTTAAAAAAAAAGTAAATCGATTTTTTTTATCATTATTTATTATTATTGTAGATAAATTATATAGCGAAAATATACATTATTATTATTACTATTATGGTTATAAAAATATAGCACACTTTACCTATACGTGTAACGTAATATGGTTATAATATATATTCTCAAAATATTATTCAAACGATGATTGTGCTCGGAATGTCAAATTACAAGTGATGAAAATATATATACTTTTGTAGATTCTGCAGATAAATTTTATACTTTTCATATATATTCGGGTAATAAATTGGATTTTGAAACGCATACGCGAGTAAACCAAATTTATGGACAGACTTAAAATTCTTATTAAACGAGCACACATTGTGGGAATAAAGTTGCTCGACTTTGTAAAAAAAAATTGTACACATATATGATATTATTATACACTTACAGTCAAACATACATATCGCCAATAATTGGATACATTTTCTTATACGTTCCAATTATAGGGAACATATCATATGTAAATACATTAAAAGAAATTACAAGTAGGTACATATTTGTATTATTTATTATAATTTTTAGCTAATTATATATGGTAGCAAACTATTTAATATAAYGATAAATATGTTAATAGTATCGATAAATTAGGTGATACAACGATACAATTTTGACGTTTAAGTATATTTATTTTTAATTAAATTATAGAAATATACGTATACAATTTTCATGTAAGTTTGGTTAAAATTGTATTTGATTATGAAAATAATAATTTTTATTATTCAGGAGTATTATGATCTACGATGAGTGAAGTTTTTCAGTGGCACAATCAAATAAGATTTCATTTAACATACTTTATAGTTTTACAGAATATTTGTTATCCTAATGCGAAAGTGAAACTATCAGAAAATCGTTGTTAGTTGATAATTCGTTCATTTTGTATTCTATTTTTAGATTAAATAAATATACTTAATCGGATCTTTTGTACAGTTTAAGGGGAGGTCTAGACTTCCAAGGAAGCTCCACCCGGGTCACGCCATTGACAATTGCCACATTACTTTCCAGAAWTGCTTAGTTTTATAAGTTTTATTAATCTCATATTATTATTAAATATATCTTATTATTTATTTCATTTATAGCTGATGGTACATTGGTACCGAATTGCGAGATATTCACTTAAAACATAAAATTTATTATTATATTATATTGAATTTCGAGGGTCGTTTTTCATTCGCGATCAATAAACTTAATGTTAATCTTTTTTTTTTATTAACATTTTTACCGACTGAAAAAATCTGCTTCAGACAAATCTATTGCTGCGTTTTGCGATAATAAATTGTTTTATTATTACTCGTTATTGTTTGTCTGCAGCCCGACCAAAGATAATATAATATATTTGAGACGATATTAATATTAAAGTGTGCTCATAAATTTGCTTAAACCTGAGATTAACGTCAAAAGATCGGTTCAAAAAGCAAACCTACKAAATCTCTGTAAAATACGATTTGTCGTTGTTTATATAGTCACAAAGACCTACATACTTTATATCATTCGAGCAGCTGGTTGATTATTTTAAGACGAATCGCTGTTCATAAATCACAAGATTCGTTTCGCTTTTTCTCGAATAGGCGTATGTCGAAGCGATAAATTATTATTATTGTTATCTCAAAGAGATAACATTAAACGACATGGTTTTAGCCATTATTGAAATACGCGAACACGCACGGTATAAGTATTATTAACGCATTAAATCATGYCAAATGTTTACTGTTTATATATTAAGCATGTATATGATATTATTTAATGAATTGGAAAACTTTACGGAAGTAGCTTAAATTATAATAATACCTGCGTCTRTCTGTCCGTCAATGTAATCTGCAATAATTAAGCTCTGCAGCAGTGCCGTTACGTTTGTATTGTTTAAAATTTTTTTTTTTAAAGTTTGATAAAGGGATTTATATTCGGTTTAGGAAACTTTGTTCATTACGGTTTTAAAGATTGGTATAGTAGATTATAGTAATATAAATAAATTCCATTGATAACGTCAAAATTGTGTCCAGAACGATGGTCACAATAAAATAATTTGGTTCACAGAATTTGTAGGACATTTACAAACGATTTAGTTTTTTTTTTTTTACCAAAACATACATAGCCAACAAATTTTATGAGTTTACGACCATGCTCTAGTGACTATTTTAGACAAGATACGAAGCAGAAGTCGCTAACAAAACTAACTTGTATCAATTTTTACAGCCATCGARTGATCGGAACAAAATATTGAAAACAATTTGATTTTGATTTTTGTACGGTGGCGCCGGGTCACGTAGGTTATGTTTGTGTATGGCGTCTATCGTCRTAAAGAAATTGCCGGGCTACACGCGCGTAAATTCCTACACGATCGAACGACCTTTTTACTGGCGATTTTATTGTTCGTGTTAGTATACATTATTATATTATGTAACGTGTGCATTGAGTATAAAGTGAGAGATTGAGAGCGAAAAAACTTTCAATTGTAGAAAAATTAAAATTGTTTTTGCTGGTATACAATACAAAGTTGTACACTTTATTATATAGATATATATATTTTAATTTATTATACGGTCGGTTCAAGTTAGGTTTTATGTCAATTTTTTAATGTAAGTAATAGGTACTGAATGCCACTTTGGTACAGTTGCGGATGGAACTCATAAACAGCGTGATTCACCACAAATGCTTACCCTCACTTTTTCTTAAATAATAATTTTTTTGGAAAYCTGATTTTTGGAAATTTTGAATATATTCAGAWTTTTATATATATTTATATTTTTATTTTATATTCTATTTAAGGAGTTATCATTACGATTATTTTTAATAGAAATAATAATTGAAATATCAAATTGAATACATTTTAATGCGGATGTTATAATGTTTTGTTGAGTTATTGTTTCATTTCAATGTTCAAATACATTTTGTGAATAAAGATTTAAGCTATGTGTCTAAATACAATGTGAATGTACCGGAAGGCTTATATGTATTAAACATTAAATTATTTCAAAAATKTAAATAATAATTTAAAATATAATGGTATTTTATAATTAAATAAAATACTGAATTTATTAATCTGATTTAATTCCAATACATATTTTATAATATCTATATTTTGGTATGCTTATAGTATTACGAAATTCAATTTTAACATCAGCTTTCTAAAACAGTATTTTTATATTGCGCTCAAAATAATACGAAACTTCAATTTGTAGAAGAACAAATGATAATAAAAAATACTGGTCTGAAAATATATACRASGATTTTTCAATGAACCTATTATACACTTGTTCCGTTTCACTTAACATTATTAGGACAAAACACAATACATTTATTGAAATGTCGGGTCATCACTATATTTTTTTGTCTTGTAGTTGTAGACTATAGAGAGATAATCGTCGAGTAACTTACTATATAACGATTTACTCCAATGATAATAATAACTCGTCATTTTTATTTGTTATAGTTTACGTTGTTTTGGGAAATTACTACGATCACACAGGTCTCATCGTGGCCATGGACGAAATGGATTTGTTCAAAAACGGTAAGGRAATTTTCATTACGTACCTACGTCAATAATAAAATTATGCTAGTCGTCTTATAGTTTTATACGATCGCCCGATTCGCGTGTTCGATTTAAAAGCTCATTTTGTGTTATTTAGTTTTTAATTTCCGATACATGCGGGTTTTTCATCCCAATCACTTTCTGTCCCCGACTTTATATGACCGATCAAATATGTTTGATTACAACTTTCGATATTATTGCTGCCTAATCTGACCAATGACAGGAAACATGGGGTATTTCCTATATCCAAGCTTTTGATAATACTCGTTGGCCCGTGAACGCCAGCAAGTCGCGCAAAATACAAATACGTCAAAATTGCTTGCTCAGTAGCATCGTCTGTCTACCCTTCGGGATATAGTGAGTAGTGACAGACCAATTCTCGGGTTTCATATAAAATATTACTGTATAGAAAGGAAACGTCTAAGCTATTGATTTCTGAACAACTTTTTGTTTGTTGGATTACATTAAGTATATGCTTTATCTTAATTCAACTGATTTCTCCTATAGTATAGTTATAGCTACTATTTTCAAAAATCGTATGCTACCTATTAAATAATAGTTATTACCGGATATCTTGCTCAGTTTCCTCACCTTCTTAACCACAAAAAAGGTCCAAATCAAATAAGTTTTCTTATTCTTAAGTCATAATTGTTGTATACCAAAAGCGTCTTTATCTAATTTTCACATTAGTATTACTTTAAAGTGAAATTAATTTCTATTGTATTGCACCAGAATTTTTGTTTTTGTTTAAGAAACAATTTTATTTAATCAGGGTTTCACGTGTACCTAAATATTTTTATTTCAACTTATCAGCACTAATTTTCCTTTTATTTTAACTTGTTTTACTTAAGAAAAATTAAATTAAATTGGCTTTTAAAATTCTCCGTGGTTTGAAATTATTTACTTAAGTACTTAATCACTTCAAAATAGTTAATCACATTAACTTATTTTTCTCTGTTAAATATTTCTAGTAACAATATCTGAATTAAAAACAAAACTGAGTAGGTAGTGGAATTAAGGTATTTCAACAATAATTGTAAGTCTAAATGCACATGCACTTATACTATATTTTTTTACTTATATTGTATTAAAAATTATATTTTAATATTTGTATTTCCAATACTAAAATACTTAACATATTATTATATAGGTTATAGGTAGGCATTATAAATCATCAATATTGCATAACATTGTATTATTTTTAAATTAAATTTGTTATTTTGTTTTCAATTGATGAACGTAGAACGTATGACCCTAAATAAATCCTGAAAATATAAGCAGGCTTTCTGTTGCCAAACATTTAAAATTGTCATCGATAGTATATTATAATATATATTGTGTAAATATCAATTAAATGAAGAATGGAAGTACTTATTTTTGAACTAAAATTTATGAACTAATACGTCATAATGTAATATCTAGGTACCTAAATTTATTTATTTTTTCTATATACCAAAAGTAAGTAGGCATTGTTATTGATATTTAATTAACAGTTATTTTAAACCTACTTATTGTTTTCAATTATACTTTTTATAATACACATTTTAATGTGAATATATATTCAAAATATTTTGTTTTGACTTATGATTAAATATTTTTTTCATTTTAATATTTTATTATAATATAGTAAATGTGAAAATTACTGGTAAAAATGTAATTAATGGTTGAGATAATTTTAAGAACGATAAATCCACTATTCAAGCTAAAATTAACAAATATTAATTTAATAATATTGAGAAACGGCCAATAGTGTAATCATCGTAGTTTAATTTTTGTTAAATAAAAATAAAAAACAAATCACATTATTCATTTAGGCCAAACATACATAGCTTATTACTCATTCAACTTCGTTTCCAATCGATTATTTATATTCACATGGTTATTGACATTTGTATGAGCAAATATATAATAAATAATAATATAATATACATTACGTTTATATATTTATGCGTTGTATTTTTCATGGTTTTAATTTATGAATATCGTATTATAGTTATACGATGGAGTATATAAAACACTTTCTTGATAAAATGTTATTTAACGATTTATTTATCATTCTATAAAATATTTCACTTTGAATGARCTAAATGCGATGATGTCAACTGCATATTTTTAAGGAGAAAAAAATCTGGACGTACCTTTATCTGTATGACATGGATGTAGAAAACAATAACAATAACAGTTAATACATTTGATGATTATTATGTAAAATTAAATAGGCATGCAGCCACACATCATAATAATATGAATTTTTTTTTCAATCTAACCTGTATACTTATTACGTTCTTAGAATTTATTGCTATTTTGCATAATTTACCTAAATTATAATACGTGTTAAATGCTTATATACCTCCAGGTGAATATTTCGTGGTGGGTGTGGATGTGGAGCAGTATGACGCTGAAAACCCTGGAAAATATTTAACCGGAATGTTGTCAAACAAACCTGATCCGATTTTGGAAAAAGCTTATCGGTCGTTTTTTAGTGTGGTTCCCACGCCACCTAGAGGATTCAAGAATTTCTCAGTCAAAGTCAATGAGTACATGGAAAAACCACCATTTCAGTTCCCCAATCCCTTGGTACAGTTGGGTGGTGTCAAACAGGTATGTAAATTATTTTATTTGAAGTATAGTTACTTTTGATTTGTTTATTTTAATTTTATTATTATCACACATTAATGCAGGATAGCTTTAAAACCGAATATAATTAAATTAAACATTTAAGTTACAAAGCTCGTATATTATGTAGCTATTTCTTTAAGTATTCGTAATATATTACTAATATTTAAAATTATACCTTATAACTTATAATCTTCTCTTAAAAATACTTGTTTAATTTTATTTTTTGGGTGGATATAAATTATATTTTGATTGTATTTACTTATTTGATATCAAGTATATTGAGGCCACAGTTTAGGTATAGGTTGTGATGATAGAAAACGAGATTGAATGAAAAAATAAATATTTTTAACAATTCGTTACTATTTTATGTTTTTACTTTTTTGAACAACAATAACATATGCTAAWTGTTTTGTTTTGTTATTGAATATTTTTAAACAAGTAATAAATTAATTATAACTATAAATATTTAGTTTTGTTTTGTTAAGTAGAGTTGAGTGACATAGTAGTACCTACCCTGAAAAATTTTGAACCACTACTCACAACTCATCAAAACATTAAATAAACACTGATAATTAGTTAACTTATTTTTTAATTAACAAGTGTGGCCATTTAAAYGGATCACCTTGGATTTATATAATATACCTCATAGGACCGATATAATTTATAGCTAATACATTATAAGAATCACGGTATCTATTTAAAATGGGAGTCGTCCCTATATACTATATAGTTAGAAACTATCATTATAATCAAACGTCTTAAAAATATCATAGAATATAATATAATTCATAGAATTTAATATAATACACAGTGCGTTTATATCGTGACATTTGTCTTCTGGTCGAAGGCTCGGTTATTGGTTTCGACATTTCGTCCAAACATTTTTTAGCGGTGATGTTTCACTGCATACGACGTGAGCGGAATAGGTATCGACAGAAAAAGTTTTTTTTTGGTCTTAAAAAAATATACTTATACACAAAAGTGGTTCTTTTTACAGTAAACACTCGTCGTTCCAAAAACTATTACTCTTTGTGAAGAATTGAAGATAAATGCAATTCTGACATTTTGCCTTTATTTTTTACACCATTTATTGCTAGTGAATCGATCATCGATTTTTGATTTTTATATGGTATAACCTAGTTATTTGTTTATTTTCTATTTTCATTGACTAAAGCAGACTAAACTTTTCTAAAAAAAATTGAT